TACATACATACATGCATGCATACATGCATGCATGCATACATACATGCATACATACATACATACATACACATAAACATGCATACATGCATACATACATAAGTACATACATGCATGCATACATACACACAATAATGTCACATATATGCATGCATACATGCATGCGTACATACATACATACCTACATACATACATACATACATACATACATACATACATGTGTACATACCTACATACATACATACGTACATACATACATACATACATACATACACACATACCTACATACATACATACATACATACATACGTGCATGCATACATACATACATGCATACATACATACATACATACATACATATGCACACATACGTACATACATACATGCATATACATATACAAATACCTATACATATACATATACGTATACGTATACATATACATATACATATACATATACATTTGCATACATCCATTCATACATGCATGTATACATACATACATACATACATGCATACATACATACATGCATGCATGCATACATACATGCATACATACATACATTCATTCATACATACATACATACATATATACATACCTAAAAACATACATACAGAAATATATACATACACACATACCTACATGCATACATACATACGTACAAACATACATACATGCATACATATATACATACATACATACATACATACATACATACATACATATATAGATACATACATATATGCATACATACGTACATACATACATGCATATACATATACACATACATATATATATATACATATACGTATACGTATACATATACATATACATATACATATACTAACATACATACATGCATGCATACATACATACATACATACATGCATACATACATGCATGCATACATACATACATGCATACATATATACATGCAGGCATATGTGCATTCGTACATATATACATACATATATATATATACATACATACATACAGAAATACATGCATACATACACACATACATACATACATACATACATGCATGCATACATACATACATACATACATACATACATATATACACACATGCACACATACACGCATACACGCATACACACATACACGCATACACACATACATACATACATACATACCTATCTACCTACCTACCAACCTACCTACCTACCTACATACATACATACAGACAGACAGACAGTCAGACAGCCAGACAGACAGACAGACATGCATCCATACACAACTGCATGCACACATGTGCATACATACGTACATACACACGTACATACATACATACATACATACATACATACATACATACACACACATACATACATAAGTACCTATACAACCACCCCCTTCGGGAGAGAGGGGGGGGGGGGAAACCAACATCTGACTCAATCGATCTCACTATCGATCTCACTCAACGGGACACCACGGGACACCACGGGACACTTGTCGATCTCACTATCGAGCTCACTATCGATCTCACTCAACGGGACACCACGGGACACCACGGGCCACCACGGGACACCGCGGGACACCTTTCGACCTCACTATCAATCTCACTATCGATCTTACTATCGATCTCACTCAACGGAACACCACGGGACACCACGGGAAACCTCGGAACACAACATCGATCTCATTATCGATCTCACCATCGATCTCACTCAACGGAACACCACGGGACACCTCGGGACACCACGGGACACCACGGGACACCTGTCGATCTCACTATAGATCTCACTATCGATCTCACTTTGTGGGACACCTCGGGACACCTCAGGGCACCACATCGATCTCAGTATCCATCTAACTATCGATCTCACTATCGATCTCACTCAACGGGACACCACGGGACACCACGGGACACCACGGGACACCACAGGACACCACGGGACACCTGTCGATCTCACTATCGATCTCACTTTTTGGGACACCACGGGACACCTCGGGGCACCACATCGATCTCAGTATCGATTTCAATATCGATCTCACTATCGATCTCACTCAGAGGGACACCACGGGGCCCCACCGGACACCACGGGAAACCGCGGGACACCGTGAGCCACCGCCGGACGGACGGACGGACGGACGGGCGGGGGAGAATCAATTGTCTTGACTTCGCCCTAACAACGGCGGACAGCACGGGACACCACGGGACACCACGGGACACCGCGGGACACCGCGGGACACCGCCAGACGGGCGGACGGGGGAGAATCATTTGTCTTGATTTCGCCCTAGCAACGGCGGACACCACGGGACACTACAGGGGCCACCGCCGGACGCGCGGGCGGGGGAGAATCGTTTGTCTTGACTTCGCCCTAGCAAAAGCGGGTTCATTCCACTCGCGCGCCCACGCAGCTTCGCCTCGCCCGCACGCACGACACGAACGAAATGAAACGATTTCCCGGTTGGAGGTCTCCGTTCCACTGCGATCTCACCCCCCAACCTCCGACATACAGACGTAAAGACTGACAGGCAGATGTGCATGCATGCATACATACATGTATGCATGCATACACAGATACGCTTGCATACATACATACGTACATACATACATACATGCATACATGCATACATAGATGTATGCATACAGACATACACAGATACATGCATGCATGCGTGCACACATGCATACAATCGGATAGATGTATGTATATATAGATATGCATGCATGCAAACGTACATACATACATACATACCGTGCATGCGTACATGTACACACACGTGCATACAGTCATGCCAGCATGCATGCACACGTACATACTTACATACGTACATCCACTCATGCATACATATATGCAAACATGCATGCATACGTGCATGCATGCATGCATACGTACACGCATGCATACATTCACATAAACCTACACATACAGACATACGTGCATACGCCCATACATGCATGCATGCATGAATACAGTCACGCATGCATGCATACATGCATACATTCGTACACGCACATACAAATTCATGCCTGCATGCATCCGTACAGCGATGTGTGCATACACACCTACATACAGACATACATACAGACAGACATTCCGACAGCCAGGCAGACAGACATACGTATACATAGTTGTATGTATGCATGCATACGTGTGTACATACCTACATACATACGCACAGGCAGGCAGGCAGGCAGACAGACAGAGAGGCAGGCAGGCAGGCAGGCAGGCAGGCAGGCAGGCAGGCAGGCAGACAGACATGCATACATACATACATACATACATACATACATACATACATACATACATAGCGTGATTGCCCAGATCTGGGCCCTGGGAACCTCACCAATCGCGCGGGGTGGAAACATGCCGCAGCGAGTTGGAGTCTAGGGGTCCAGGGATCTCGCTGTGATTGTCCTGCGATGTTGCACCTTCCTCGCGACGTTGGATCTAAGGGCGGCCGTGAGATCCGACGTCGCGAAGAAGATGCTGGAGGAGGCTCCTCGTCCTCTTCCTCCTCCTCCTCCTTCTCCTCATCCTCCTCCCCCCCATGCTCCCAGCAAGGCGGAGGATCAAAAAGGCTCCTCCGTGAGCATCTCCTCGGATGGACGCCCCCACCCCCAGTTTCCGTCTCTCTCTCTCTCTCTCTCTTTCTCTCTCTCTCTCTCTCTCTCTGCGTTGTTTCTCTCTGCTTGTTTCCCCCCTCTCTCTCTGACCTGGAGCTCCTTCTCCCCCTCGTGGTGGCGCGCCCAGGGGGAGGGGGGGGGTACCTTCGTAGAAGGAGGCCGCTTCTCAGAAGGCGCCGGCCCTGCGTCTGCAGATCGGGCCCGCGCCTTCTCCAAGAAGCCGCGGCGATCCCGAGGAGCCCTCCGCCATCCCTGAAGGGGCCCTGAGACACACAAATAAATACACACAAATAGAAGGATTCACCATATTTTCCTATCTTTTCTGGGTTTCTGTCTTCCCCCCCACTTCCCATAGTTTCCCATATTTTCTTGGGCATCGACGATTAATTGTGTCTGTGTGTTTCTTTCCCTCCTGAATCCCCCCCCCCCCCCTCTGCGCGTGGCCGACCTTCCAGTGGGTGCCGCCCCTCCCCGTGCGCCTCCTCCGGCGAGGAGGGGCCGCCCCCCTCGAGGCGCGGCGCCAGGCGCGACTGTCCTCAGGAGGGGAAGAAACACACAGACACAATTAACCGTCGACTCCCCAGAAAATGTGGGAAAATATGGGAAGTGGTGGGGAAGACCAAAACCCTGAAAATATGGGAAAAGATTGGGAATCTTTTTATTTGTGCGTGTTTACTTGTGTGTCCCAGGGCCCCTTCATGTCCACCAACCCGCCCCAACCCGTCCCGAAGGCCTGCATTTCGGGTTTGGGGGAGGGGGGGGGGTGGGCTGCACAGGGGGGCGACTTCGGAAACCCTGAGCCCAAAAACGTTTTTATCTCTTGGGGGCGCATACTTGCCTTCGGCCGCCTTCTGCCGAGCTTCCCCGCCGGCGGAGGCGGCCTCGTTTTGCGTCCGCCGACCTTCCGACGCCCTTCCGCCACGCAAGAGATGACAACTCCTCCGATCCTCGAAGGCAAGGCCATCTTTTGGAACGCCTCAGATGCGTTTTTCAGTGTTCCCCGACGCCCCCCCCCCACCGGGAATGGGGGGCGCATCTGGGGCCTTCGGGTTGGGTTGGGGTGGTTTGGTGGCCGCCGGTCACCAACCTGACCCGAAGACCCGAATTTCGGGCTGGAGAAGGGGGGGGGCGGGCTTCATGGGTGATTTCGTTCCCTGTTCCCCGACGCCCCCGCCCCCACTGGAGGGCACCCGTGGGGCCTTCGGGTTGGGTCGGGGTGGTCATGAAGGCGGAGCAGGAGGAGGAGCAGGAGGAGGAGGAGAGGGAGGAGGAGGAGGAAGAGGAGAAGCATGAGGGGGAGAAAGAGGAGGAGGAGAGGAGGAGGAGGAGGAGGGAGGAGGAGGAGGAGGAGGGGGCGCGGCGCCAGGCAGGCCCGGCCGCCAGGGGGGGAGCCGCGCGCACGCGGCGCCTCGAAGTACTGCGTCTTGGAGCGCCGCGCCTCCCGCGGCCGCACGCCCGCGGGCGGCAGACGGGCGGCCCGCCGCGGGGGGCTGTGCGGCAGCGCAGGCCAGGAAGCCCCACGGCCTCCTGGGAAGTTGCCTCCTCCTCCTCCTCCTCCTCCCTCCTCCTCCTCCCCTCCTCCTCCTCCTCCCCTCCTCCTCCTCCTCCTCCTCTCCTCCTCCTCCGCCTCCTCCTCCTCCTCCCCCTCCTCCTCCTCCTCTCCTCCTCCCTCCTCATCCTCCTCCTCCTCCTCCCCATCCTCTCCTCCTCCTCCTACTCCTCCTTCCTCCTCCTCCTCCTCCTCCTCCTCCTCCTCTCCTCCTCTCCCTCCCTCCGCCTCCTCCTCCTCCTGCCTCCTCCCTCCTCCTCCATCATCATCATCATCCATCAGATCATCTCATCATCATCATCATCATCATCATCAATCATATCATCATCACATCATCATCATCATCAGCATCATCATCAGCATCATCATCATCATCACCACCAATCAGCATCATCACACCATCAGCATCATCATCATCAGCAGCATCATCAGCACATCATCGCATCATCAATCAGCATCATCATCACCATCATCATCATCAGCATATCATCATCATCATCGTCATCATCATCATCATCATCCTCAGCATCATCTCAGCATCAATCATCAAGCATCATCATCATCATCAGCATCATCATCATCATCATCAGCATCATCATCATCAGCAGCATCAGCATCAGCATCACATCAGCATCACATCATCAGCATCATCAGCATCATCATCGTCATCATCATCGTCATCATCACATCATCATCATCCTCATCATCATCATCATCATCATCATCATCATCATCATCATCATCATCATCCTCATCCTCATCCTCATCCTCATCCTCATCAGCATCAGCATCAGCATCAGCATCAGCATCAGCATCAGCATCAGCATCATCAGCATCAGCAGCACCAGCACCAGCACCAGCATCAGCATTCGCATCAGCATCAGCAGCAGCAGCATCATCATCATAATCATCATCATCATCACCTCCTCCTCCTCCTCCATCATCATCATCATCGTCATCATCTATCATCATCATCAGCATCATCATCATCATCATCATCCTCATCATCATCATCATCATCCTCATCCTCATCCTCATCCTCATCAGCATCAGCATCAGCATCAGCATCAGCATCAGCATCATCAGCATCAGCAGCACCAGCACCAGCATCAGCATCAGCATTCGCATCAGCATCAGCAGCAGAAGCAGCAGCAGCAGCATCATCATCATAATCATCATCATCACCACCACCACCATCATCATCATCATCATCATCATCATCATCATCATCATCATCATCATCATCATCATCATCATCATCATCATCATCATCATCATAATCATCACTCTGCTCCTCCTCCTCCTACTCCTCCACCTCCTCCTCCTCCTCCACCTCCGCTTCCCCACCCTACCCCGAAGACCCGAATCTCGGCTGGTTGGCGGGGTACGGGCTCTACGAGTGTTTTTTTCAATGTTCCCCAACGCCCCCCCCCCACACACACACTGGGGATGGAGGGCAAATGTGGGCATTCGGGTTTGGCTGGGGTGGTTTGGTGGGTGGTGGCGTTGGGACCCTCCCGTGCCATCTCGTCGGCGATCGCGGAGCCACGCTGGTATCGACGCGGGTGAACGCTGAAAGGTCGCTGCATCGGTGCCAGCATTGACGCTAGGCTGGGCGCTACCCCATCGACGACCAGGCGCTCGCCGACGCCAGCTATACCCTAAAGATGGAAGCACGAGGGCCGCCATCGCGCCACCACGAGGAGGGCACCATGCGGAACTCGGGTCGGGCGAAAGGGGGGGATAGCAAAGGGGGGGTTTGAGAATCAGCTCACGTAGCTGATTTTCCCGGCGCCTCCCGGCGCCGGGAGCGGCCATGTATCCAGGACTGGGCCCATCGATGAGGCCGAAACCGGCTGCATGCAGCAAATTTCGTACCCCCCCCTTTCCAAATCCCCCCCTTTCGCCCGGCCCGAAGCTATACCCGAAAGATGGAGGCACGAGGGCCGCCACCGCGCCACCACGAGGAGGGCACCCTGCGGAACGAGGGGGCCTACCCGACGACGGCGGGCCTGGGCCGCAAACCGGCCCCACGGATGTGCGAGAGACAGGGCACGGCAGCCCGAGAGCCCCTCTCGAGCCCACGGCGGCCCTTCCTTTCGCGCCCTGCCTGCGCACCAGGCCCCCATGCTTTGCTACCGAACTACCGTCGGGGCGTTGACCTAAGGAACCCTAAATAAGGAACGAGGCCCCGTTTTTCCATAAGTGAAACTTCGATGTCCCATCGAAGACAGAAGGACAACCTGAGGTAAGCTGTGAAACACTTAAGGAACGCGGAGCCCCTTCCCAACCAAACGGGTTCCTTCTTCAGGGCCCCGACTGTAGGGTTAGGTCGGGCATGTCCCGGCCGATGCTCGACGAAACAACTTGTTTACAAAACTACTCCCAAAATCGCCCCTGACTATTTTCTTCTAAAAAAACTGTTCTTGGATATTCCTCCTGTAAAAGGACAGGCCAGACTTAAAACTAGGCACGCGTGTGCGTGTGTGTCGGGGCAGCAGTTTACGGCCAGGACTCTCTGCTCAGCGTGTCGGCGGCGGCGGCCCCGAACGACACCCGCAGGGAAGGCCTGGCACGACCGAGGCCGGCGGCGAGCGAGGGGGGGAAACGAGAAGGAGAACTCCAGGTCTCTCCACAAGCGTGGGGGGGGTGGATCGCGCGGGGGGGGTGGGAAACCGCTGTCCTCCAGGGGGGCGTGGGGAGGTTGGGGAGCGAGAGGGGGTGGGTTTGGGGCGCGTGGGGGGGCGGGCACGGGGCGTCGGACAGGTTGGCATGGGGGGGGTGCTTATTGAAGGATCTGGAGAAGGCCTTCTCAGACGGCGGCGGGACTTCTCGGAAGCCTTCCGGCCTTCTGACAAGTTCTGGCGTCTCCGGGGAAGGCTTCGAAAACCTCTCAGAAGGCCGGGGGGCTTCCGAGCCTTCTGAGAAGGTCCCGCCCCTTGTCACCTCCCCCGCCCCCTCGCTCGCCGCCGATGGAGCGGGGACGGAAAGAACGCGGACGAGGCCCAACCGCCAACGCTGAACCAAACCAACGCCGCGGCCGCGGTTGGGCAGGCGACACTCGCCCCATGTGAGCTGGCAGCGTCCACGGCGATGACCGACCGCGAGTCCGATTCTCAAAATGGGCTCGAACTGCTGCGGGTCCTCGCCCGTACGGCTGGACCCAGGACAGAAGACCATCCCTCAAGTCGGGGATCTTCTGACCCAGGTGAATCCAAGCCTGGGTCAGTCAGGCCCTGCAGGGTCCTGCAGGATCCTGCAGGATCCTGCACCCCAATCCGGGTCAGTCCACCCCTGGCGCTGCAGGATCTTGCAAAATCTGGCGCTCTGGCTGACCCCCGTTTGCATTGACCCCCGCCTCTTACAGCTCGATCAGGAGCACGAGGCCCTCCCCCGGCCGAACGAAAGAGCATTCGAGGGCACCCTTCCCCAGGACTGCACCTTCAGAACATCCAACAAGCACGAAGAACATCAGGGTACCCTCCCCGAACCGACCTCGATCTTGTACCTCGGTCCGACCGTATTCTTTCCGTCCCCGCTTCGGTGCTCCAAAGGGGTGCCGGGGCCTCGGTTTGCCCATCGATCGCCCCGACCCTGGGTGTCAACCACGGTGGGGGCCTGCGACCTCAGTGCTACAGAGGATGGCGGCGCCGGGAAGCTGGGCCTACTGACGGGGCTCGTGCGCCCGAAAGCCACATCTGCCCTCCAGATCAGCGCCACCCCGACAGGCACATGGTGGACAGGAACTCCTATCGATGCAAGACAGCGGCGCTTTCCAGCCCCCTTGCCTGCGTCACCCCGCGCGAACGTGGCGCTCTCAGGCCTGCGCTCTGCCGACCTGTCACCAGCCAGGTACCCGTTGTGGCGCTGTCAGGAAGGGTGTGGGCACCCGTCTCGGTGGCCAGAGGAAGAACAAGTGCATAAACACAGACTTTCGGCGCTCCGCGCGGATTGCTTGGTTCTGCGATGGACCCCCCCTCCCTGGCTCGCGGAGCTCGCCAGGGGCGGCCAAGCGCCGCTCTGAGAAGTCCGCGCGCAGCTCCGGAAGCCGATGCTTCTGCCGCAAGCTCTGGTTGGAGTGGCGCCATCCCGAAAGGGATGCTGCCGTGCCGCGGCCTCCCGCGCCGGGCCACTCACCCACCACCTGCCGCCCGCCTTGCAGCGGCGCCGCCACCGCCTCCTCCGCATCTCCCTCCCGCTCCTCCTCCGCCTCCTACTGCTCCTCCTCCTCCTCCTCCTCCTCCTCCTCCTCCTCCTCCTCCTCCTCCTCCTCCTCCTCCTCCTCCTCGTCCTCCTCCTCCTCGTCCTCCTCCTCCTCCTCGGCCTCTTCCGGCTCCTCCTCGCCCTCTGCCTTCTCCTCCACCTCGCCCTCGCCCTCCGCCCTCTGCATTCAGCAAGGGTGTGGGCCGGTGCGGGGCCCGGCCCGCGAGAGCAGGGAGTGAAGTGAGCCGGCTCCCCCTGGTGAGCGTTTGTTTGATTCGGCGCTTCGACCTTGGGCGGAAGGGGGGAGGGAGGGGGGGTCTGGCTCCAGACCTCTGCTTACTGCGACTGCTTGCTGCAGTGCGTCCCGTGGGGGGGACTCCACCCGCTCGAAACAGGCGCCAAGAACAGCCAAGATCTACTCCGGGGGGGGGAGGGGGGAGGGCGCGAGGGCCCGCGCCGACCGGCAAAGCAAAGAATAAGAGAACGATCACCACTGGCTCCGTGCAGTCCCCGCTGTCTGCCCCGGCCGCGCCGTCATCGCGCCCCACAGCGTGTCCACCTCTCAGCCGCCGAGCGCGCGGCCGGGAGGGGGAAGGGCACGGAGGGAGGGAGGGGCGCCTCTCTGTGCTTGACCGTCGCTTCGGGGGGGAGAAGAGGACCGCCCCCGCTTTCCCCTGCTCTCCTCCCCTCTGGCGCCGCGCGCCCCGGGAGAGCGAGGGGGGCACAGAGGGAGTACAGGAATTCCGCACTGCAGAAGCATGAGCTGTTGACGCTCCGCGCGGACGTCTTCAATCGGCACTGGGGCCCCCCTGGCGGCGTCTCCGGCGCCGCCCCTGGCGCGCTCCACGCGCCACGGAGGGAAGTCCAGCGCAGATGTAAGAAGTCCGCGCGGACCGCCGAGCATTTGGTTTTTCCTGCCACACACAGAGGCGGTGCGCAAAGAAAAAGAAATGTCACGACTTTCGGCCCGCGAATGCGTGCGAAAGCTCACAAGGAGGACGAGGCGGAGAGGAGGACGAGGCGGAGGAGGAGGAAGAGGAGGAGGAGGAGGGGTGCGAGGGGGAGGACGAGGCGGGGCAAGGGCGCTCTGCGGAAAACCCCATGTGGCCCCAACGGCCACTTATATGATCCAAGAACGCACAGCGCAATCCAGAGGGGAAGAGGAAGGAGAAGAAGATGAGGAAGGAGGGGCAGGACAAGGATGAGGGACTGGGCAGCGCAGAAGCCCGAATCGGCTGCCACGCGCATCGGCTGTTGAACATCCCGGCTCATGCCAGAAGTAGAACAGCACGGGCAAGCCGGCCTCGGAGGTCATCTCCTCATCGCCCGACTGCCGGTCAGTCTGGGCGCCCACATGACCATGGCTGCGGAGGGGCGGATATTCGTGGAGTTATTCGCACTGCACCCTGGCATGGATGAGGAGAGGGGAGGGAGAGGAGGAGGAGGAGGAGACGCGAGGAGAGGAGACAACACAAAACCAGTGAAACGAGTTACCCCTGGAACGTATCAGTTCCAAGCTGGCTGGCCTGAGGCCCCAGTGCGCGACCGGCGGCGGGCGGTGCGCAGAGACTCAAACGAACTGGTATTCCTGAGGAGCAGACCAGGCCCACGAATACCACGACCGGGGAGCGGACGTGAGGGGCAAGGACAGGAGGGAGGGGGAGGAAGGAAAAGAGGGAGAACGCTAGGAGCCCCCTCCCGCGCGAGGTAGGACGCGCGCGCGCGCTCCCCGAAACGTCAGCTCAGGCGGGAGCGCGCGCTGGGGGAAGGCGGGGAAAACGAGGGCGGATGAGGGCACGCGGAAAGAGCGAGCACGGAAGATGATGATGATGATGATGATGATGATGATGATGATGATGATGATGATGATGATGATGATGATGATGATGATGATGATGATGATGATGATGACGATGATGATGATGATGATGATAATCATAATAATACTAATTATTATAAGAAAAATAATAGTGATAATACTCAAGATGATGATGGTCATGATGATGATGATGATGATGATGATGATGATGATGGTGATGGTGATGGTAGTGGTACTGGTGATGGTGATGGTGATGGTGATGATGATGATGATGATGATGACGATGATGCTGATGACGATGATGGTGATGGTGCTGATGATATTGGTGATGGTGATGATGCTGGTGGTGCTGATTAGTCTTATGGTGATGATGACGGTGCGAAGTATGATGATGACGATGACCATGGCCATGATGGTGGCGATGGTGGTGGTGGTGATGATGACGACGATGATGATGATGATGCTGCTGATGCTGGAGCTGATGATGGCGACGGTGATGAACGTGATAATGATATCGATAACGAAAATAATGATGATGGTGACAACGAAGACACTGGTGATGGTGGTGATGATGACGATGGCAATGGAGATGCCAGTAAGGGTGCCAAAGACGATTACGCTGATGATGACGATGACGATGACGGCGATGACGATAAGGATGACGGTAACGACGGCGATGATGATGGTGATGATGGTAATGACGATGACAATGACGAAAACGATGATGATGGTGATAGTGGTGATACTGGCATATGCTGCTGGTGATGATGCTGACGATGATGCCAATAATGATGGAGGTAGCGATGCTGTTCCTGCTGGTGCTGACGCAACTGCTGATCATGGTGATGGTGGTGGCAATGATGATGATGGTACTGGTGAAGATGGTGACGATAGTGGGAACCGTGTTATTGCTGCTGAGGATGGTGAAGATGACGATGCTGATGACAATGATGATACTGATGACGAAGATGACGAAGATGACGAAGATGATGATGATGATGATGATTATGATGATGATGATGATGATGATGATGGTGATGATGATGATGATGATACTGATGATGCTGTTGGTGACGGTGGCAATGAATGATGGTACTGGTGATGGTGATGCCGATAACGGTAACGATTCCGATGATGATGATGGTCATGCTGATGGTGACGATGACGATGGCGACGATGATAATGATGATTGCGATGACGACGACGATGACGATGACGATGCTGATGGTGATGATGATGATGGTGGTGCTGATACTGACGCTGAGCGTGACACCGATGATGATGGTGATGATGTTGGTAGCGATGACTCGGATGCTAATGATGTTGGTGATGATGATGGTGACGATGATGGAAAACACGGGTATGATGTTGCCGATGATGGTGGTGGTGATGCTGGCGATGATGATGCTTCTGATGATTATGGTGGTGGTGTTGATGATGACGATGGCGGTGGCGGTAAAGATGCCGATGGTGCCGATGATGAGGACCATGACGATGACGCCAACAATGATGACGATGACGACGATGGCGAAGACAATGATGGTACTTGTCATGGTGCTGGCATTGGTGACATTGACGATGACGGTAACGATGCCGATGATGCTGGTGATGATGATGATAAGGATGGCGATGACGATAACGACGATACTGAGGATGCCGATGCTGATGATGAAGACGATGCAGATGATAATACTGCCGATGGTGATAAAGATAATGACGATGCCGGTGACTGTAACAATACCAGCGATGATGGTGACGCTGATGGTAACGATGATGAAGACGATGACGATGGCGATGATGATGACGATGGCCATGGCGATGATTGTGATCATGATGGTGGAGATGATGATGATGATGATGATGATGATGATGATGATGGTGATGCAGAGGATGATCGTGGTGATGATGGTTGTTGCGAGAATGTTGCTGCTGATCTTGATGGTAGTGCTAATGATGAAAGTGATGATAATGGTATTGATGATGATGGTGGCGATGGTGGGGACCATGCAGATGATGCTGCTGAATGTGGTGATGGTGATGATGACGATGATGGTAATGGTAAAGATACTGGTGATGGTGATGAAGCCGAAGACGACGACGGCGAACAAGATGACGATGACGACGACAGCGACGACGGTGACGATGACGACGATGGCCATGACGATGATGGCTTTGGTGATGGTGATGCTGATGATGACGATGACGACGGCGGTGGCGCTGCCAATGATCACGGTGATGATGATGGCGATGGCGATGATGGCGATGATGGTGGTGCTGCAAATGATGATGATGATGGTCATATTCACAAAGTCGATGATGATGACGATGACGATGGCGATAGCGATCATGACATGGTGGTGGCAATGAGGATGGTGATGGTGATGCCGATAACGATAGTGATTATGATAGCTGTAACGATTATGATGGTGCCGAGGCTGACCCAACTGCTGATGATGATCATGGCGATGTTACCGGTGCGCACGGTGACAGTTACGATGATGAGAACCCTGTTGATGCTGCTGATGATGGTGATGATGATGACGATGATGGCGATGCTGATGACGATGCTGACGGCAGGATGGGGAAGCGGAGACGAGGACGGGGACGAGGAAGGAGGAAGGAGAGAGGAGGGGCAGGGAGGAGGAGGGAAGAGAGGTGGGAGGCGGATGGAGCGAGCGACGGAGGGATTGTTTGGGATTGCGACGCTGATGAGGCACATTTCCTGTCAGCAAATTGTGGCACACAACTGGCAAAGACAATTTAGTACAGTCAGAGGCTGCACTAAACGTCGGAAATCGAACACGCTGCACGGGCACCTAAATGCAAAGGACAGTGAACAGCAACAACGTTCAACCGTGGTCAGGTCGGCAGCGGCACAGGGCGCGGGGCGGCCCTGGACCGATGCTGGCGACGAGGCCCTGGTCGCCTGGCAAGTTTAAGCAAGGCCGCACAACAGGGCTGAAAGCCTGCACGCACGACGAACATGCAGGAAAAGACTGGCGCGATGTCCGAACCCACCTGCACGGAAGGACGGGTTCCCCGGCGCGCGTCGGGGAGGGGAACAGAACAAGCCGCGCTCTGACCTGCTCAGCACACCCTGGCGACTTGAAGCCTACGCGTCTCGAAGCGAAGGCCAACGGCCGCTCGACGCTCCACCCCCGAGGGTACCCGCGGTATTCGCAGCGGGCGGGCGGCGCCCAGGCGGCGGGGTGCGCTCGCTGCTACACTGCCGCGCCGCTCCCACCCCCCCCGAGTCATCATCCACCCGCCTTCCCATGCTGCAAGCTTGTTCAGCAGACGAGCGTCATCGCAGGAGGACCTGGGACACGAGGGCCTCGGGACACCTTCAAAGGATGCGAGCTAGATCTCACAAGGCGTATACCGCAGCACGACGGCCGATGTACTCGACTGGGTGACAACAATCCTGTCAGGGCTGGCAACAGCCATAGCACGGCCACTGTGCAGCTTGGAACCTGCGGATTTCGAGGGGGTGGCACCTAAGTCGGAGAAAGACGGATCGACCCCTCACAAGTAGCTCTGAAATGAACGGGCACCCGAATGGCCAAACAAAATTGGGATGTGTAACGCTGGCAAGTCTGTGCTGACAAGTGCGGATTGGGCTGGCAGAAACACCGCATGAGAAAACGGGGCAAACAGCAGGCTAACGTGAGGCGAGTGGCGCGCAGGCCGAGAGATGGCATCTCACTCCACAGAGCCTGCTGCCACTCTGCGCCTCCACTCCTGAAACGATCCACCCCACATAACCTCCAGACCTGCCCTCCCAACAGTACTGACTAGTCACGCGCATTGTCAAACAGCCCGATACCGAATTCGGGCTGCAACGTCCATGGGGCTACCCTCTTGGGGAGGCGCAACCTGCGACGCTCCCTGGCCTGCGCACGGTTGTCTTCAATCCGTTGGCGCAACGCCTCGGTGAGCTCAACGGGCTGTGGGGCGGAGGGCAGAACGGAGAGGGGGGGAGGAGTGGCACCAGGGGGGCTCGGTGTCCTCTGGCTGCAGTATACTGGCGCCTTGAAAAAAGGCCAGAGCTTCTGCATACTCTTGCTCGTCGGTAGCCTCGACCGGGCATATAAGTCCCGAGGCACGGCCTCTGGTTCAAAAGCAATCCCAGCTTCTGGGGCTCCCGAGGTTGGCGGCTCAGGCGGTAAAAACCTGTGCCGCTCAGGGACCGCTCGGACCCGTCCGGATCGGGGTGCAGCAAAATCTGGCGCCCGGGCCTCGTCAGTCCAGTCCCGAGATACTGGCCCCATGCTACATAAAAGGCACTCAGCGACCCACGAAGCTCCTCCTCCTCCTCCCGCAAATCTCCTGGCCACGGCGAGGGAGGAAGGGAGGGAGCGGGCGGAGCAGGTGGGCGAGGAGAAAACGACGACAAGGACAAGGGCTGCGGGGCGTTGCGGGGGGGGCCACCGCTCTGTCCGCCGGCTCGATCAAGCCCACGAACACCTGCCCGGCGCGAGCGTCGTCGTCGCCATCGCTGCCGGAGGAGGGGAGCAGCAGCGCAGGAGGTGCGGCACCTCCTGCCTCCCGCTGGCGCAGCAGCAGCAGCAGTGCGCCGCGTCGCGGAGACCAGAGGAATGGAAGGGGGTGCGGAGCGGCACTGCAGACCTGCTCCTCCCCTCTTCCTTGATCATCGCACCTCCTCGTCGCGCCAGAAAGACGAGCCAGGAGGGGGGGATGGGGCGTTCCGCCCAGGACACCTTCACTGCCTTCTGACCCTGAAGCCGGACACTGCCGCAGAGGCTCCACGGACAGAGGGCCAAGGGCTCCCACGGCGGTGCTTCTCGCCCTCACGCCGCACACACCGCGCCAGAGGCTCCAGCGGCGGTGCGGACGGCGGCCACAGGCCTGGCTTGAGAAGGCTCTGGCAAGAGCGCCGCGCACCTCCACCTCAGAGTAGAAGTCGCAGACTGCTGCACGGATGGAGGGTGAGGCCTTTTCAGCATGGGGCGCTTGCTCAAGTCTCCGGAGCATCTACTACAATTTGCGTGTGCAGGGAATGGTCGGCCTGAGGCCGGCCTCCTTCCAAAACAGGGCTCACACCTGAGCCCTCCTCTGGCTGCGCCATCAGAAAGGACACGCTCAACAGCACACAAACAGATGTACGGGAGATGCATTGCAAAAGAAGGCTGCCGCTGCGAACTTCCACAGACTCTCTGATCCTGCCTCTTTGCAGTGCTTGGACCCTGAAAGATGGAAGGCGGCTCCTTCTCAAAACGGGGCGTGCGCCTGAATCACAGTCCCATGGATCGCTCGTCTCTCCGGTAGGGTACCTCCTGTAATGCCAGAGATTGCTTGCATGGGGCTTATGAAGAAATGCCTCGGGCCAGGAAGACGCACTGCAGCATCATTCATTCGTCCCGGGTTTAACTACGGTCCTCCTCCTCTGAAGGGGCCCAAGGGCACACAAATAAATACACACAAATAACAGGATTCGCCACATTTCCCCTTATTCTCTGGGTTCTTGTCTTCCCCCCCACTTCCCATATTTCCCCGCATTTTCCTGGGAGTCGACAATGGATTGTGTCTATGTGTTTCTTTCCCTCCTGATCCTCACCACCCTGCTCGATTTGGGGACCTTTTTGGGGCCTGCTTGGGGGTCCTCGTCGCCACGGCTCGATCCGCCTGGTGGACACCTCCTGCTCGGAAAGGCGCCCTGGGAGAGATATCGGACTGGGAGGCGCCTCCTGCCGTTCACCAGAAACAGACGAGCGCGTTCCACGACTCGCAAAAGTGACTACTCGCAAATGGCCTGAATCCGCCGGGGGGAGGATCGACGAGAAATGACATTGAGGCAGATCTGTGTTTTGTCGGACGTCTGCGAGTGGGCACTTTGCGAGTAGTGGAACGCGCCCGGTGAAGAAATCAAAAAGAGATTCGTGCGGAGCGCGCTGATCGCTGGCGCGGGAAACGCAAACATCAGCGGCGTGCTCACCCGCCAGCCGGTGGAAAAGCGCTGCTTACATTGTGGGGGGCGCCCTCGTGCGTGCACATCTCCGCTTTGGACGCCGGAAATGGGTACGGAAAGAATGGGTACCATGCCGAACAGCGAGTGTTGTCCCGAACCAACAGCGGCCGCTGTTGGGCAGGCGGCCTTCTGTCTCAAATGAACACAGGCCGCGGCGGCGTGGACAGCGAACCCTGTTCAAAATGAACAGGGACTGCTGTTGGGCATTGTACCCATTCTTTCCGTGCCCATGTCGGGCGTCCGGACCCGCGGCTGGTACGCAGCAGCGCCGGCAACGCGACGGTCCACACCGGGGCAGCCGAGAGCGGCGCGTGGCCCGGGATCGCCGGCACGCCGCGGCGCCCGCAGCCGCCTGCTGCGGCCGCGGAGCTGGCGAGGAGCCGTCCACCGCAAGACGACCACGGGTGCGGACCTTGACCCTGTGGTGTGAAGGGGCCCTGGGACACACAAATAAATACAAACAAATGAAAAGATTCCCCATCTTTTCCCATACTTCCGGGGTCTTCGTCTCCCCCCCCACTTCCCATATTTTCCTACATTTTCGGGGGAATCGACGATTACTTGTGTCTGTATGTTTTTCCCCCTATTTTCCCATACTTCCTGGGTTTTCGTCTCCCCCCCCACTTCCCATATTTTCCCACATTTTCTGGGGAATCGACGATGAATTGTGTCTGTGTGTTTTTCTTCCCCCCCGATGGCTCGCCGCCCGTGGGCAGCTCTGCCGCGCGCCGAGCCCGCCGCGGTGGTCCACCGCCGCAGCGCGCCGCCACGCCCTCGGTGGTGCGGCCGGGTGCGCCGCCGGGCCCCCCTCCCGAGCGCGGGGCCCGTCGCGGAGCGCGCCGCAGCGCCAGCAGCTCGCGGCAGCCCGGCCTGCTGCGCCCGCGCAGGCTGCAGGGCGGGGGGGGGGAGCGGGGCGAAGGACGGGGGGAGGGGGGTCGACCTTTGACTGGCGCCCCTGGGCGTGCGTTCTGGCCCTCTTGGGAGCCTCTGGAGGCCTCCTGGGGCAGGTGGGGGGTTGGGAGACCGCTTCTCTTTCGCAAGCGTGCCGCCTCGGGTTCCTCGACGCTCGCGCGTGCTGTCCACACCAGGCCGGTGGAGGAGCGGGGGGCCCGCGAGGAGACCCCCAGAAGGATGCCAGAGACTCTTCCTCCATCCTCCCCCTTCCTCCTCCCCCTCTTGATGATGCCTTTGATGCGGCTCGCTCCTGCTTGCGGCTAATAGCTGCTGCATGACGCTATTCGCTGTCATTTACGTATGTCTGTGGGCTGGAGGGGACAGCCTTGGAGCCGTCTTGGAGCGGTCTGGGGTCAACTCGAATCAGAGGTGGGGCTATCTCGGAGGCCGCCCAGGTCTACTTTATGGCATCTTGGGGGCGTCTTGGGCCTTCTTGGCCCCCAACGCCGTGAGTTTCTCTCGGAGTGGGCTCACATAGGTTCCCACCCCTCCGTGGGGACGACCTTTTCATCCTGAGTCGGTTTTGACAGCCCTGGAGCTGGCACGCTGACTCCGGGAGCCAAAGTTGGTGAAAGATCTCCGGCTCGAAATGGCTTGAATTCTTCGAGTCTGTCGACGACTGGCGGCGAGACCTCCCGGCCCCACCTCCTTGTCCGTGTTCAGCAGCACCTGCGTGAAGAGCCACTGCGTGGCCTCGTGCGACCCCGGGCGCCCCGCTGGGACCCCCCCCCCACACCCGCTCTCCAAGGACCGAGCTGGGCGGAGAAGGGCGGCAGAGAGGCGAGGAGGAGGCGAGGGAGAGGCGAGGGAGAGGCGGGGGAGAGGGTGATGACGGGTAGACCAACAAGTGGCTGAGCAAGAGCGGATGCCTGCCGCTCGGCGCTCAGCCCCGCCCCATCAGAGACCGGCTGGCGACCGAGCGAGATATCCTGGGAGCTAGGGAGCGCATGCGCCCCGAACCCCCCGACCTTGACGAGAGGAAAGGAGGAGGCGGGAGGAGGGAGGGGGGAGGAACGAACGAAGAGCCACAGGCAGTGCAGCTCTGCTTTTTCGTATCTATGCGACGGCGCCGACCCCACCAAACACTGCATGGGTGAAGGTGGGAGGGAGAGAGGGAGCAAAATCAACCAGGACAGTAAGGACGAGCGATTTTCAAAGGTCACCCCTGCATCCTTCCCCTTCGGCCCCTCCTTGGCCCCTTGCGCTGGCCGCGCCCCGCTCGCAGAGTGTCGCCATGTCATTCCAAAGCCCTTGCTTCCTCATCGCCAGTCCCTATCATACGGGCTGACTGTAAAAGGGTCACCCTTGCATCCTTCCACATCGGCCCCTCCTTGGCCGCTTTCGCTGGCCGCGACTCGCTCGCAGGGTGTCGCCATGTCATTCCAAGGCCCTTGCTTCCTCATCGTCAGTCCCTATCATACGGGCTGACTGTACAAGGGTCACCCTTGCATCCTTCCACATCGGCCCATCCTTGGCCGCTTTCGCTGGCCGCGCCCCGCTCGCAAAGCGTCGCCACGTCATTCCAAGGCCCCTGCTTCCTCATCGTCAGTCCCTACACTACGGCCTGACTGTAAAAGGGTCCCCCTTGCATCCTTCCCCTTCGGCCCATCCTTGGCCGCTTTCGCTGGCCGCGCCCCGCTCGCAGAGCGTCGCCACGTCACTCTGAGGCCCCTGCTTCCTCATCGTCAGTCCCTGCACTACGGCCTCACCGTGAAAGGGGCCCGGGTACTTCCTCAACTTGGCTCTCTCCGAGGGGGGGGGGGGCCTGTCGTCGGGCCACGGAGCGCCGTCGGCCATCTGTCTGCGGAAAGTTACCCCAGTGCGACCCTACCTAGAAGTTGGAGCCCCTAGAAAAGCAGCATTAGTTGCTATGCTATGCTATGCTATGATATGA